TCAAACAAGAAGTCACCTTGTCAATCGACCAATCTACTTTCTTGACTGACAGCACTTGTGTTCTCCGCTACATAGAAAACAAGGATAAAAGGTTCCAGACCTTTTTTGCAAATCGCATCTCAGCTATTCTTGACCAGTCCACTGCAACACAATGGAGGCATGTTGACACTATACAGAATCCGGCCGACGAAGCATCAAGGGGGATGACAGTTGAATCATTGTTAAATAATGAACGCTGGATACAAGGATCAGACTTTCTAAAGCAACCTGAAGAAGAATGGCCACAAAGACCCAAAGACATGGGCAAGATTTCTCCCGATGATCCTGAAGTAAAGAAAACTGCTGAAGCATTTGCAAGTGAAACAAGCGAACAAACCGAAGATTACATTAGCAAAACCTTTGAAAGATTCTCTTCATGGACTCGTTTGAACAGGGTCGTGGCATGGACTCTACGCTACAAAGGTATGTTACGCAGACGGAGCCAGCTGCGCAAAGAAAACAAGAAAATCAACTTCCAATCAAGCAAAGGTGAAATTGTCCCCTTAACTGTGTGCGAGATAAGGGACGCCGAAGAAGTCATTATTAAGCACGTGCAGAACCAAAGCTTCAAAGAAGACATGCAAACCCTTAGGCGCGTCACTGAAGAAACACAAGACAAGAAAATTGCAGTGAAGAAGTGTAGCAATATCTACAAACTTGATCCGTTTGTGGAAAATGGCTTCATACGAGTTGGAGAACGTCCACACAATGCACCAATCAAGATCGACGCAAAACACCCTATTATTCTTCCAAAGAAGCATCACGTTACCAGCCTCATTATTGATTACTATCACCGAGCTTCTGGGCACTCAGGAGTTGAATACACCTTATCGTTACTCAGACAAGGCTACTGGATAATCAGCGCGCGATCGATTGTACGCAACATCATCAACAAATGCTTTAATTGCCGGCGACGTCAAGCACCTGTTATGCAACAAAAGATGGCGAGCTTACCAGAAGATCGCATAACACCTTCAAAGCCACCATTTACCTATGTAGGAGTCGACTGTTTTGGTCCTTTCTTAGAACGTCGAGGAAGAGCAACAGCTAAGAGATGTGGAGTTTTGTTTACCTGTCTCGCCATCCGTGCAGTCTACATTGAAGTCGTACACTCTATGGACACTGAATCCTTTATCAATGCTCTACGTCGCTTTATTTCAAGGCGAGGACGTCCAAAAGAAATTAGGTCAGACAACGGAGGAAACTTTGTAAAAGGCGAAAAGGAGCTACGCGAAGCTTTGCAACAATGGAACCAGGCTCAAATTCACGAGTATTTGCTGCAACATGATGTCAAGTGGATATTCAACCCACCCGCTGCTTCTCACCACGGAGGAGTATGGGAAAGATGTATCAGAACTGTAAGGAAAGTAATGAAGGCGTTACTTAAGGAACAAGTTCTTGACGATGAAGGCCTACGCACGCTGATGTGCGAAGTGGAATCAATCGTGAATGGAAGACCAATTACAAAGGTGTCTGATGATCCACGAGATTACAACGCACTCACGCCCAATCATTTGCTTCTACTTCGAGGAGGATCAGCAATGCCACCTGGAACGTTTTCAAGAGAGGATAGCTACAGCTGTCGCCGATGGCGCCAAGTACAGTATCTCTGCAACCTGTTTTGGCGACGTTGGACGCGAGACTATTTACCTTCGTTACAAGAACGCCAAAAGTGGAACAAGCCACAGAGAAATCTCGCTGTGAATGATATTGTGCTGCTTCTGGACGAGAACACGCCTCGCAGTATCTGGCCATTAGGACGAGTAATTGAAGTCTACAGCAATCGTGGGGATGGATTAGTACGTTCAGCTAAAGTCAAGACCAGATCAACGGAGCTGGTGTGACCAGTGGACAAGATTGTTTTACTGGAGTCAAGTGCAGAGGACGCAATTGACCCAAGCAAGGATCAGTAAGATGTTATTATAATGGACATTTATTAGCTTATGCTATGAACATTATATTTTACAATTTATAGTTTGTTAGGTTAAGCGTTTCAAACCTGCCATAGTTATTTGGTAAAGGCTAATTTTGTCGCCTTTAAGGGGCCGGAATGTTAGTTTTGAAAAGCTCTTTTGTTCATTTGTCCTATAATATTTTTTAGTTGCTTTAAGACAGTTTTATTTTTACGTTATAGAACGTGATTATACCAATCTCTCTAGAAACATTTCGTAGGTTTTCACGCTTATGTCATGGTGCGGTACTTTCCGCTAGGAAACGCGTAAAGCGTAAGTACAGTTTTACTTAGTTAACGCCTTTGGCATAATACACGTATACTCTATTATAAAAGAGGCAACGCAATACTAGAAATCATAAGTTATCCCGCTATCATTGGAGTTGCTATCAGAAGATATTTTGCTGCTGCTAGTTTTTGCTACTTTTGGTGCGAGTCGTCGACCAAAGTAAGTCTTTTATTTTTTTATAGTTATTTAGTACTGTAATTCGTTGAACTATCAAGTCTTTACACTATCTCACGAGAAGGACATTGATTTGAAGACAAATCTGCTGGAATCAAACAGGATTGATTATTGTTACTGTTACCAACGTATTTTATATAATCTAGTTTAGTGTTGTTAAGATAAGTTCTGTTCAAGCGGAATCGCTACGATATAGTTTTTTGATTGCTTTATTCATGCTGAGAGTTAAATGTTATTGTCTCGGTTAATTAGCTCAAGTATCAATTATCGGATTTTTCAGTTATCTGCTTCTTGCATCATAGTTTTATGTCGTTTAGATTATTCTACCTTTTAGTCTTAATTTTATAGTTAATGTAAGTAGTTCGTATTCTTCAATTATCGCTTTCCGTTCGAACCTACGTTTAGCTGCGTCTACGTCTACGTCTACGTCTAGCTACGTCTACGTCTGCTATCACTTTGTCTACCGTGTGTATTATTACTCGTTACTACTGCGATCTGTTACGTCGTAACTAGGCTACAAACATTGCTATTACATTGAATTGTTGTACACCCAACTGTTATTGTTATGAACTCTAAAGATCTGTCATTAAATCTACTTTGATATTCTATCACGTGGAGTTAGAATCATCTATCGCCTCGCACCGTGCCTCCCCCTCTTTTTGTTGAGATTTGGATTATTCGCGACTTCCAGAATTTCAGCAATTCCATTTAAATGTTTTGTGCCCCAGACCACACCCAACCTACCCCCAAGCAACCAGCAGGAAGGGCTAGAATGTGGAACTAGACTATGAGCAATCAAAGTGAGGACTACATAACTGTAATATCAAAATGTCTTTACTTAGTCTACTGAAGTACAAAATCTGTGGACAAAGTAAGGATTTTACTAAGCCTGTAAAAGAAAATTCATTTCTTAAACATCTTACAGTTGACTAAAGTAAACATGGATATTGGGAATCTCAACCATGTTTATTAAGGTACATACTAGCTGTATAGTTAGTCCTTTACATTAACAAACATTTAAACTCCATGGCCTAATATATCTGTTTTTAAACGGCAACAGTCTGGTAGAAACTTAGTCGACTACAATACATGTAAAAAGTTAACTAACTGTAATGTTTTAAAAACGTCTGGGCTACAAGATTGGAAAGGATGGAAAGCCTCCCACACAGGCACTCTTAGAGCTTTGTCTCATGTTCCTCATGAACGCATGATGAAGCCCTAAGAGTATCCCTGTGGGAGGTTACCGTTAGATGATAGCCTTAATAAAATAAGTAAGCGGCATGTCAATAAGCTTCTTTGTCAATCCACTGAAACAACAACAGTAGTTGTGCAAATGTTTTATGGACCTTGTACAAAAAAGTTTGTAGGCATACACTGCAGTTGAGCTTTATTTCAGAAGATTTAAGTATTTTTGAAGTGTTGAAATTAAAGATAATGGTCATTTATATTCTCTGGTATTTTATCAAGGATGCAGTGCATGTCAATAGTTTTGTTGGTTGGGGATCAAGGGTGGTAGGCACTGTCAAGCTTGACACAGCACATGGGGCTACTATACCCCTATGGCTATGACGTCATCCTACACTTTCCTGAACTTCATCACTTAAAACAATTATTTCCCTTCTCTCTTAAGGCCTCATCAAATCGCTTAACCACCTTTCTCGAAATTGTCAGACATTGTTCTAAACATCTTGAAAAGCTGTCACTTTTACTTTTGCTTTAAAACAAACTTGTCTTCAATCAATTATCACTTGTGGGAGTTGAAAAATTATGTATTAGGAGAATGTCATCATTAGTATAATAATAATTATTATACTTATGTTGACAATCTCCTACTACATACTTTTTCAACTCCCACAAGAAAGAAAGAAAAACAGTATAAACAACCTTCAATAAAAAATGGACGCATTTAGTTGAAAACCACAGAACTGGATTATATCGAGCATATAGATAGAGGTTACTGACACTAGTAGACATTTTAACATAATAGTGAGGGAAACCCCAGGGTCGGCCGAAAAATGGAACCCTAAATATCTTAGAGACTTCTTAATATCCCTCAAAATAACCAGACATTTGAGATCTGGACTAACCCTCTTTCAATATCTTTTGCCCCCTTTCTGATAAAGTTCACCTTATTCAACACTTCAGATACTTTGAATCTGGAGTGGGGAACTGGACCCTCTCTATACCTTCATTCTATACCATGTGGTCCCCCCACTCACACACCAGCACACACAAACACACCACACCTACCAACCCCATATGGCTAATATCTTTTCCAATCACCCTCTTCCTGTAAAATGCAAGTAGGCAAATGCAAAATATCAACTTGTTCCTAGCATGATGCCAAATGTATTACAGGCATGTGGCAAAACCCTGAAACAACAATCACAATCTAACCTGTTAATACAGACAGATTTCAGGTTAAAGCTTCACGCTGGTTAAACAAAACAATGATAAAACAACAGCCTGAAATCTTTTCTTGTTGACAGGCTAATCAAGCAAAATTTGCTGAATTTCACCTATTAAAAGGTTTTTCGAGAAGGCACTCTACCGATTATAACTATCTAAATTTGTGTAGTGTAGTTGTTGACTCTTAGCTCCATAATAGGCACTTGGAAATGCTGGTTCATGCATCACCCAAGCATTTTGGTATGGTTGCACAGGCTGCTGAAAACGGGCCATTATCTCCATCATACGCAGTTCATGTTGTCGGTTGAGTTCTGCCTGTTTTTCCTGATAGTTAAGAAATGCTTCCTCCCTTCTCTGATCTGCCTCTAGCCAAGTTTGGATTCGTTTATCTTGTGCTTTTTGAAGATTCTCAAAAGTTGTAGATAATTGGCTGATGGCATCTTTCTGTGAAGTTATTTTACGTTTTCTGGGCCGAACAGAGACACTTGATTTCTGTACCTCCTTCTTGTCCTTCTTGGATGCCTTCTTTAAAACAACTTCATCTTCCTCAATGGAAATCCCTTCATGGTCTGCATCAGTTGGTTGACATTCGACTCTGATCAAAAAATTGAAAAACACCTTTTTTAGGTTCAGGAAAACTGCAATTTTAACTGTACTTTAAGTCAGGTTTCAATACAGTGAGGCAAATTAAGCTGAAGCACTGACCTATAAACATTCAGCATACTTTTATATTAAAATCACGTACACTGACATGACCATATACGGGTGTGTATGTACAGTGTGTTGTAGGCCTGTTTCTGACTGACCCTGCATTGGTTAAAAGTGTGTGTGTTAAATGATTCCTTTAAAATTCTGAGAAAATATGAAACCATTATATTCTAATTTACCCGTTAAGTAATGGTCCAGATAAGAAGGAAAGGACCAAAACGCAGTGAACACGTCGGAATGCAAAAAGGTGTTAACTTTACTATTGTCTCTACTATGGTTCTGATTGGTTTAAACATCAAATTTTTCGAAATTTTCGCAAAGCAGCATGTATATTAATCTCTTTTTTCTATCCAACTTTGTTATAACAAAATCTCGTCTGAGTCTAAGTAACACAGAAATCGTATGTGCGGATCATGTAAAACTGTGAACATTTCTTGGCCATTGTTTGCAACTCTTGTGAGTGGTCGAAATGTTTTAACACAAAAATACACCCTTTAAAAGTGGAGTTTAAATACATTTTCTTTCGTAAACTGCCTTTTTGTAGATTTTTGTAAAAATGAAAACATTTCTATGTGAGGAAAGCGTATTGCGCCACAACAAAACAAGTTGCTTCCCTTCTTACCTGGATCATTACTTAAATTCTTCGTCACTCTCATCCTCTGACAAGTGTTCAGGGGCCCGTTTCTCGAAAGTCCCGGTAACTTTACGGGCCCGAAATCAAATATTCAAATCAAAATATAAAGAATAAGGGCGCGGGTCCTGGCTAGCAAACTACTCCATTTTGTTTCATTAACTGACAGTTTTATCGAGTTAGATGCAAAACTATTGAAACCTCGATCTTTAATGTAAAAGGAGACAGCTTACCGGGCCCGTTAATTATCCTGACTTTCGAGAAACGGGCCCCAGAACTTGCTTCTGCTGAGGAGGAACTTGAATTTAACACCTGCTTCTTCTCACGTGGCATCACAGGTAGCCCAAGCTCACTATGATAGCCCTGAACAACATTATCCTACTTAGCTAATTAATTATTCATACAGCAAGAAAATTATAAGACGTTGTATGGAGAAATGTTCTTTGCTCACTAAATTAGCAAAATGTACATTGAATATCGTTTTGAAGCTTACCTTTAGCGTCCTCTTGTTTTTGTCTGTATTCTGCTGACTGCATTTCAGACCTCCTAGGCACTGTTTAAGTCCTTTTCTTGAGCGACAGTTTTTCACCCAGATGTCATCTGGGTGAAAAACTGTCGCTGACTTTTTGAGTGCAAGAGTCTCCAAAGTTAATGCAAATTCAGTTCGATCGTCTGCGAGAACAGATGCAGACTCCTTAAGTTCATCCTCACTCCACTTTCTACCACGAGACTCCTTCATGCTCTTCTTGGCCGCCATGTTGTTTTTCACTCGTCCCAGTCGTCTCTGGACGAGTCGAGCAGCTTTTAACGTCTAAGACGTTAAAGTCGCTTGTTAAGTGCGTCGTTCGGACGCAGTTAACAGAAGACGTTAAAGTCGTCAGACGTTAAAGTCGTCTGCCTTATTTACCGTTTTTATACTAGACGTTAAAGTCGTCTTCAGACGACTTTAACATCTCAGACGACTTTAACGTCTCTAGCATAAAAACAGCCATGACGTTTACTTAGCTTGAAACAAGTTTGAGACCCCAGAACTGGAGGTTTTCACTGTTCTCCTGGAAATTAAAATCCAGTGCGAAAGATAAATTGCAATAACAAAGGGAAATCTTAACAAAAACAGAAATAAGTGGACCACCCTGTGCATTTCTGATTAGTGCTGATTTATAGTAATTTAGCAAACGCGCACTATTATTATTTTTCTATTTGTTCTGCTATTTGTTGTTAATATGTTGAATTTTGGTATTTCGCTTTTTTTTGCTTGTTGCTTTGTTTCTTTATTTTTTACTGTTTCGCCTCCTTTTTATTTGCTGCCCTAAAAAATAAATTATAATAAATAAATTATTAAAAAATAATAAAAAAATAAGGCCGCCAAATACATCGTTTTAGTTTTTAAAGTTTTCCTTTATCAACAGCCTCCGGCGAACAGCAGACGCATTTCCGGTCGTCGCTTCTCTCCCTCCCTCGCCCACGGCATGTGTGCCCCTTGCTTTAAGTTTGTCTTATTGAATTTACTGGCACACAGATCAGGGTAACTCCTGATCCACCTTCCCCGCGCATGCCGTGGGAGAACTGCCGTGCGGTTCCCAGCCAACAGTTCCCACACGTGTTGTGTGGAGCTGTCGCTTAAAGCAGTGCTTGCACTTGCCTCGGTAGTAACGGGTCTTAGATACACGGGGATTTTCCCCGTTCGTTGACTCGAGGGCTATGCCATGCTGATGAATTCTAATAAGGGCGAAACAGCTGACCATGGCAGCCACTGTCCGAGTGATATAGCTGTGCGCATGCGTGAGGTACTGGCCATGCCGTGGGTTGGTGTATGTGTGCCCCTGCAACTATTTTTCATATTTTATTTTTTTTGTTAATATCTAATTTAGGGCAGATCAGTTTGCTGAACTTACCGAATTGTTTCGCCGTGACAATCAATACACAGCCCGCTATATGGCTATAGTACGACGGTCGCTACAACAGTCAGGGTTTGCAAAGGAAACAATTACAGGACGGCACGTTAGATTTTTTCCCTGCCCTACAGGAACATTTGTCAATGCATCAATCAAAGATTGGCCGAGATGTGAACCTTGCCCTCCAGGTAAATTTTTGCCATGTGATCTGACGTTAGCCAATGTTTCATCATCCATATCTCTTTCTCTCTCTCTCAAGTTTCAGACTTAGTTTTGTTGTTGTTGTTGTTTTTGTCGTTGTTTTCTTCAATATGTATATTTCTTACGTTCATTTATGCTTATATTCACTAATTCATTGATCCATTTTAATCGTTCTTTCCCTTTGTCCGTTTTCTTCTCTTTTCTTTGATCGTCCGGTCCAACAATCATTTCGTCTATTGATTGGTCTATGTTAGGTATTGCTTCTTTTACTTTCAGTTTAATTACCTTCTGTTGACTCCTTCCAACCTCGTTCTTGATCGCTTTAAAGCATTTTTTTTCTTCCCTCCCCTTGCCATAAATCTTTTCATTGTAATGATTCATGCTTCTCCAGTAACATCTTTTCCTTTGACGCCTTGTTATTCATCTTCCTCAATCCATGTCTTATATTAGGGGCGTGTTCGATTGATCTTCTTCCGGAATAAGAATTAATGAAATACGCTCCGTAAATCACTTGTTTTGGCATTTATTGCATTGAAATATCTAGAAATCTGCTTGAAATAAAATATTTCGATGAAAGTAAGGTTTGAAAACAAAACAAAACTTTTGCGAATTATTTTTTTCGGAAAAAGGGCAATCGACCACGCCCTAACCATGCTAAGCAATAAGAAACTTTTTATTCCTGTAAATGTTTCATTTTGCAGGAGGATATTTTTCGGACTCCTTAGCTTTTGTAAGCAAACTGGGCTGTAGAAAGTGTCCAAATGGAACATACGTTTCTCTCTACAATAGACCAGGGACACATGCATTAAACTGCACCGCGTGCCCTCAAGGTAACGACGCAACCCCGAGTATGTTAAAGGGTGTTTGATAATTGTACAGCAATTTGATTTAAAATGTTCTAAGAAGTGAAAATAGATTTTATTGAATCAAAAATTGATTCGAAAATCTCCTTTTAACGTTTACAAATTTTTCGAGCGCTGCCATTTTAAATTTTGTGAAGTCAATTGATCGCTGCAGTTGGGTCTTGACAACAGCAGTCACCAAATGAGGTCAATATTAATCTCCTACCCAGATCTCTCTCGGCCAAACACAGAGTGAGATCTGGGTACGAGATTTTGTCAGATTAATACAAAAGGCGGCACGCAGGAAATCTAAAAAAATTCGTGTCAGGTCTAAGTAGAAAAAATTGAACTTCTTTATAACAATTTGCTCTGAAAGTCGTGGTTTCCCGAGAGAGCTGTAGAAAAATTGATTTTAAAAAACCGATTTTTGGCATTTTTATCTATTTATGGAAGTTTTCTTCAATTAACTGTTGTGCTATCCTTGACTCCTTTACAAAGGAACAGACACCGATTCGTTCGCTGGATTTCGTGCATGCAAATGCTTGAATGGTTTTCATCGCACTCACATGTTTAAAGGCTGTCAGCGTTGTGATAAAGAAGGGTTGAAATGCGAAAATGACCACATTACACTTAAGCCGGGTTATTGGTGGAAATGGTACAATGACTCCATCAAGGGCCTCTATAAGAACTACACCTTAAATCTGCTGTCATCAAATCCTTCCTTCGACAGTAACAGAGTCGAATACCCTTTTCCGTTGCCTATGCCACATGAATGCCCAAGAAAGGAATCATGCTTAGGAGGTCTGAACTCTAAATGTGAACAGGGCTATGAAGGGCCCCTCTGTGAAGTTTGTAGCCATGGGTATTACAAACGTCTTAAGACCTGCAAGAAGTGTCCAACAAAGGCTTGGATGGCGGGTCAATTGACCATCACCTTCGTTTTGCTGCTGCTCCTTGTAGTGGTCGTAGTTTGGACGAGCATTAAGAAAAACAAAGAAGACAGAGAGCGCGCTTTGGTTGACATAATTTTGGCCAGGCTAAAAATCGTCATTGGTTTCTATCAGGTTACGTTTGGCATACTCGATGCTTTCACTTTCATCAAGTGGCCTGATTCCATGGCTGCCATATCAAAATATTCAGAATTGCTTCAACTAAATGTTCTTCAGATTGCTCCAATTCATTGTCTGTTTCCTCAGTTAAAAGTGGATGCATTTGGGAGTTTGTTTGCTATCCTCGCAATGAATGCAGCTGCTGTTGCAGTGGCTGGGACCTCTTATGGAATAAAAAGGCTTTTGATGATCTTCAAAAGTCGTCACCTGGAAAATGATGCGGAAGCCAAGCAGATTTCAAAAACCAAGGAGCTTATCTACAGAAATCTTTTTTTCTTCTTGTTTGTTACTTATCTTAGCACCTGCTCAAAAACAGCAAACGTCCTTCCCGTTGCCTGCCGCGAGATTTGTCATGAAGGTAAAGGTAAAGATTGCTTCAAATATCTAAAAGCAGACTTTACTATTGATTGCCGTAGTCGAAGGTACAAGCGCTTGGTTTCAGTAGCATATTTTGCAATTGCATACATCATCTTTTTGCCTCTTGCCTCTTACCTCTTTCTCTGGAAGCAAAACAGAAAAGCCAAAGCATCGTTAAACGACCCTGGACAAAAACAAACTTTTGGAAAAGAATTGGCGGCAGGGATGAGGTTTCTTTCTGAAAATTACACAGCCAGGTCATGGTATTGGGAGCTTGTCGAGACAGTTCGCAAACTTATATTGACATCTGGCTTGATTCTCGTGGGAGGGGAGAGCAGGGCATACGTTGGATTGGCTTGCGTTATTTCAGGGCTGTATGGAATGTTTTTTGCCTACGTGAGACCAGTAGAAGATCCATTTGAAAACAAACTGATGCTTACTTCTCTTGCTGTTACGTTCGTCAATCTGGGCATTGGAGCTGTCAGCAAAATTCCCAAAGAAAATGTTCCAGCGTCGATAGATCCGTATGTGGACTCTGTTATGTTCAACATATTGGTGATTGCTGCCAACGCTCTTGTGATCGGATTACTTGTTGGTGAGTAGGCTGAAGATTAAGACCACGAGAAGCCTCTGTTTTTTCTTAGTCCGCCGAGCGAAACGCGCGAGACACAAAAAATGACCACGCGCGTGACTGAAGGCGCAAAACGGGAAAGCCGCCACCCTCGCTTCTCGCGCCTCTCTCGCGGCTTCTTCGCTCGACGCTTATGCGCGCGTACACTTTCCTTACTAAATTCTCCCCTCCCTCTACCCCTACGTTCCTGATTGGGAAACTCTCTCCCTTCTTCTTCTCCCTCTCCCTTCTTATATTTTTTTTCTCTCATTCCAACTTTCGTTCATTAACTCGAGCAAAAAAGCTTGCTGCGCACACTAAAGTAGCCGCAGCAACAATTCATCAATTAAAGCTACCAGCCCTGTATTGCAAACGCAGGCTGTATTGTGTTGTTTCTAGTATGCAAATTTTCCTTACTCTCTTGATGTCTTTATTTCAGTTCAGTACTCGGTCTACCTTTACCATTTCATTCAAAAATGGAGAAAAAATCCCCAGTGGTCCATGTCCTGTTGCCTAGCGATGCTTCTTCCTCTTAACGACCTTCAGGGAGAAATCCGAGGAATGATGGGGCGGAATGTTCTGAGGCAGCGATTTCAAAGTGGACGAATAGCTATGCCCTCCGTGTCTGGCGCCGTGAAGGACACTGGGACTATTGACTTTCAGCTTGAAGAGCAGGAAACAACTGAAGTTGTGCCAGACAGCATGGGTGGCCATGACGACAGCTCGCACAGTCCACAAATTGT